TGAGTCTCAATGACATAATATTTTGACCTATACCTATGTAAAATGTTCCGGGGAATCGATTGGCGTCAATTAAACTGCAAAATTCGTAGTAGTTTCATTAATTTCATCAATTTCGCAATTTTTAGAACCATCAAAGTTGTTTTAAGCCCATAATATTAATTGACAAGACTCAGAAAAATCACGAGATTCAAATGGTAAACAGTCGACCCCTAAAAAAAATTTGTTTGACAGCAATTAATTCAAAATCTCGGTTTTTAGTAGACAAAAAAATCTCAAATTATGGAATTATTTTCTTTGTTCATAACCCTACTCTATCACGTAAAACGAGTTGCATTGTAAAAAAAAAATTAAGGGTGGGTTTTTCAAACTAAAAATAACCCGATCGTGTCACCCCTCATACATCTCAGTTTAAAACATAGATTTTAAAAATATAAAATAAGGTAGGTATTTTGTTTTTCCTAAGCGAGATACGAAATTGACCATCGCCAAAATCAAATTTGACTAAACCATTCGATAGAATCTTTCATTGCGCATCTTTTTTCACATACTTAATTTTTACGTGCGACGCATACTTCTCGAGATATTCACGTTTGAAATTTTCAGATTTGAATTTGCGCGCTTCATTGCGATTTGTTAAGGTTGGTAATAGTCGGCATACATACGCACACACGTGTATTTAGAGTTGCATAAGCTGTGGGGTTTTTATTTTTATATTTATTTCACAAATTTTTTTGACATTAGCAAGCAATTAGCCACAAAAAGAGACTATTTGGTCAATTTTGTTCCTCAGTGGGCTACAAAAAAACTAATTTTGCACTTTTACAAATTTTTACTTTTTTCAAGAAATGATAAATTTTGTGCACAAAAAGGATTAGTACGTCTGAAATGGCGGTTTTCCATAATTCTTGAACAGTTTTTCCCAAAATTGGTACTCCTCAAAATCTGGGTTTTCCCCCAATTTCAGATTTTCCCCAATTTCAAGAAACGCAATCGTCTCGTTGCACTTTTCCCACGAAACTGCCTCACCCAAGAGTCGCTTTCCCGGAATTGGGGCTCTATCATGAAAATCAATTCAAAATCAAAAACCTGAAAACTCACCCATGAGTTGCGAAATTTGTCCACATTTCCACCATCCGTCTCCTTGTCAAAACATCATTTTCAGTCAAATTTTCAGTTGTCCCATTTTTGGTGAAGATATATTGCAGCTCTTCAGCGTGCCCCACTCCGGGGTGGGGGCCCGTGTGGGTCCCCTGGTACACAAATTTGTAAAAATAGCCCTCAGAGTGTTTGGTGAAAAAATCAAGGCTTTTGCGAATGCCACGCACTAGGAGGTCTTGGCCCAAAAACTGAAACCAAATTTTGAAAAAATCGAAGCTTTATTTATTTCAGAGTCGAACTTTTGAAAATTTTTCAGTGTTTTTTGCAGTGTCATCCCCTAAAAAATATTCCCGGACTTTTGACCCAATTTCTTCACTTTTGTCAACATTATTCAAAGATTGAGGGTAGAATAGTTCGTAGTTTGAGTCGAAATCGTCAATTTTCATGAAGTTTTTCACGACTGAAATTGAAATGATTTTGAAATGGTTCATTAAGGGTGATAAAAATTACTATTTAGTCCCAAAGTGCCTTCATTTGAGTTGTAACCAACAATAAAAGGAACTTTGTTGAAATTCCCACTTTTGAGCAATTCGAAGGGACTTTGGGTTATAATTGCGTCCTTATTTTCGGCTTCTATTACTGGATAAAAGGCTGAAGCCCTTAGATCAGTTTCATGGCCCTTAAATTAAAAAAATTAATTGTAACATTTCAAATTATTGCAAATTTATGGCCAGTTTTTGCTTCAATTATTATTTATTTTCTATTAAACTTTTTTACAATTTCAAGGTATATTACTTTTTCTACTTGTAAGTCAAGATTTTTGCAAATTTTTTTCAAATGTGCTCAGTTTTAAAATTTTTGGAGTGCTAAATGGTATAATTCATTTTTTCTATTTCTTGAGAAAAAAATAACTAAGATCCAATTTTTTTCTGAAACAAAAATGCCAAAATAACACGATTTTTTCCCCTTTTTGGACTCAAACAAGTAAATTTTGGGGCAAAATTAAAAAAAAAAACACCATTTTTCTTAAAATTGTGACAAAAACTAACAGAGAAGGTGTCAAAAACCGCTTCATTGTTTTATTATCTCAATTATTATTTATTTTTGTATTAGACTTATCTAAATATTTCAAGGTCTATTATTTTTTTCACGTTTTTAATAACAAAAATTTAAAATTTTTAGCTAAAACAACCAGATTTTTCTCCTTTATGGATCCAAATAACGAAAATTTGGCCCAGAATTTTGGAAAATTACGTCATTTTTTATCCTTTTACCAAAACAATAATGTTCTCTTTATGTTCAAATTTTATTAATTTTTGTAAATTGTAAAATTTCAAATTATTTCAAATTTTTGAGCAATATTTGGGGCATTTTTTCTTACCTCGTTTTTGTTTCAATTGTTATTTTTTTCACACAATTTCAAGGTCTATTATATTTTTCACTTGTGAGTCAACGTTTTTGCAATTTTTTTTTCAAATGTGCTGTATCAATTTTTTTTTTAATTTTTTGAGTGCTAAATGTATTGGTTTATTCGATTTTTTGGGAAAAAAAATTACTTTGAACTATTTTTTGATGAAAATTTAATTTTAATAACAAAAATGTAAAATTTTAAATTTTAATTTTAGCCAAAATAACAAAAATTTTTCCCTTTTTTGGACCCAAACAAGTAAATTTTGAAAAAAAAAACACCATTTTTCCGAAAATTATGACAAAAACTAACAGTCAAGGTTTTAAAAACCGCTTCATTGCTTTATTACCACGTTTTTGTTTCAATTATTATTTATTTTTGTTTCAAACTTATCTAAATATTTCAATGTCTATTATTTTTTTCATGTTTTTAATAACAAAAATTTAAAATTTTAGCCAAACTAACCTGATTTCTCTCCTTTATCCATAAATAGCTAAATTTTGGACCAGAATTTTGAAAAATTATTTTTTCATTTTTTCATCTTTTAACCAAAAAAAAATATTTTCTCTATTTTCAATTTTTATTAATTTTGTAAATTGTGAATTTCAAATTTTTGAGCAGTATTTA